AAGCCGTATGCTATGACTGTAACAACTATAAACAGGAATAATGAGGGAATTATGGATCATTATCCTGGAAAGGTTTCACAAGACAAGTTGTTCATTAGAAAACTCCCAAATGGATGTCAGTACAGCTTCTCACCTGCTAACATCTCTTAAAACATTCATGTAGGAATTACAAGATTCATTTCTCAAATATGAGAAAAGGGTAAACAACTGTCAGGATGTGAGACACATAAGGTCGAGAGATCAATGTAAAGGAAGAGAAATATGCGACAGGATGAAGAGGATGCTGAGAACAGTGATATTTCATCTTCTACTCAATATAAAATTCGGACTTTCTTAACAATAATTTATAAACTGTCACTGGCACTAACTATTATAATAGTGGCATATGAAAACATCAGTTGCAAATTTGGGTTTCTACAAAACTTAAGAGTCCACGCCTAAAGAGAACCTCCACAGTACCACGAAAAAGCTGATTAGCATGTATTCCAAGGATTTAGAGAGTTGCACAGAGGAAGAAATTGTTCAATTTGCCATCCTCTGCAAGGCTGGGTTAGTTGAAAAACAGTCAGAATCCAAGGAATAATGTATTCTGAGAATCAACTTTCCCTAGCGTCATGATAATTTTAAGAATGTACATGTGCCCCATGTCAAGCAATTACTCGGGAGAAAGATCATTCTCGATGTTTCAAAAGATAAAGAACAATGTTCAATCAACAATATGGTAAGACAGGCTAAATGAACTGGCTATTTTGTGCCTAAAAAATGACTTGTTAGAATCAATTGAAACTAAACAGATCATAAATGCCTTTGCTACATAAAGAGCCAAGTAAGACATTAGTTTAGCCATGTACAGAAGGCATGATCTGCTACTACTGCTGGGCATATTATGCAAGTACCAGTGTGATATAAGTATGTGTGTGCACCATGCGTGAGTTGTTAAGTTTATGTAGGTGTGGTTTCTTTCTGTCTATATGCTTTGTGGTCCAAATTCAAATTTTGTTTGTGTGTGAGCACCACTTTTGCTATTGAAGAAACATCCCACATTGTTCATTAATTTGTAGACGAGTCTTGCAAATATATGGGTATTATTTTCCTATTATCTCCAAAGTAAAATATATCTTGAGGTTTATTTTACATTAATTTTTAGTCACAATTATAATAGACCCAGTAGCAAAATTTAGCCCCAGAACCATCTGACCCTTAATCTACCGCTGGTTGAAAGAAAAGCTGCTTGTTATAAATGGAGTTCAGTCAAACTTTGATTAACGTTTCAAGTGAGATACCTCAAGGATTACTGTTAGGACTTATATTATTTTTGAATTATTAATGATATAGATGAAGGAATGGCATTAATAAATTGTTTAAATGCTGATTTACAAAATGATTTAGATTATTTGATGAGTTGAGTGAATAAATGGCAGATGGCTTTTGATCATAAAAAGTAGGGTAATACTTATCATAATTTATGGGTTATCATAATTTAAAATAAAAGTATACTTTTGATGAGAATAACTTTTACAGTTATAGAAGAGAAGTATCTTGATGTTCTGGTTGATCAGCTTTAAAGCCATCCAAGCACTTTATTGTTGTTTGTGGCATGACAAATTGGATTTCAAGTTGCACCTACAGAAATAGTTAATATAAGTCTAAAGATGTTAGAAAACAGCTGGAGGACCTGGATTTTGCGGACGACGTCAGCCTTCTGTCCCACAAGCAACAGCATGCACAGTCCAAGCTCACCCGGCTCGCTGAGGAGGCAGGAAAGACTGGCCTGAAGATCAACACCATAAAGATGGTGATGCGGCTGAACAACAAACGAGAGCGCCCACTGCAACTGCAGGGAGAAGATATCAAGGAAACAGAGCGCTTTGTTTACCCTGGAAGCACAGTAAGCAGAGACGGCGGCACAGACGAAGACGTTAGGAGCCGGATCAACAAAGCAAGGCTCGCGTTCAACACTCTGCGACTCATCTGGAACTCCAAAGCCTTATCCCTGTGCAGCAAGATCCGCATCTTCAACACAAATGTAAAAGCAGTCCACTTGTATGGGTCCGAGACATGGCGAGTTACGAACACCATCACCAACAAGATACAGACGTTCATCAACAAGTGCCTGCGACATATCCTAAACATCAGGTGGCCAGAGAAGATCTCAAACACAGAGCTATGGAAAAGGACCAACCAGAACCCAGTCAGCCAAGACATCAGGAAAAGAAAATGGGGCTGGATTGGACACACACTGCGACAACCAGTTGACAATGTTACAAGGCAGGCCTTGGACTGGAACCCACAAGGGAAAAGAAAAGCTGGGAGGCCAAAACAGACGTGGAGGAGATCAGTCGGGAGTGAAGCGAAGGCCACCGGAATGGTGTGGACCCAGCTGAGGAGAGCAGCCCAGAACAGAGTCCATTGGCGAGTTGTTGTTGCGGCCCTATGCTCCACTAGGAATCTA